TTGAGAGTAAGAGAGAGGACAAGAGGAAAAGTGATTTTATTTTGATTATTATTATTTTTTTATAAAAGTATAATTGTGTTAATAATTGAAACAATTATAATGCAAGTTATATCTTGTCATATAAGCTTTGCAAGAAATAAAAAATACTAGGAAAGATGTATAGAGTTAAGTGGTCCTTATAAATAAGACAATTAAGAATTACAAATAAGACAATTAAGAATGACAAAACCCTTAAATTTGCCCTTCAAATAGAAAAGCAGAAACAAATCCGCCTCTAAAAAAAAAAGAGGGACAAATTGTCTTTCTAAATTATCGATCAAAACAAATTATTCATTATTTAATGTGTGACATTATCACATATCAAAAATTGGTTTGCCACCTAAGTATGTTTTTAATGAAAAATTGATATATAATGACATCACACATTAAATAATACATTATTTGTCTTGATTGATAATTTGAAAAAGGTAATTATCCCTTTTTTTAGGGGCGACTCCGTCTCTTAGCCCTCCTATTTGAGGGGCAAATTTGGGGGGGTTTGGCCATAGGAACTAGGGAACCTCCAATACTAGTATAGATCATAGAGGGATCAATAGAGTTATGTAACAATCTAGAAAAATTACTCTAGAGCTTATTGTTGTTGCTAGTAATCACATCTATTTTATCATCAAATATTAGCATGTGAGATTAGAGGACACGGTGGTACAGTCTCTCAGCACTATAATACTCTATCCAAGATTAGATGATTTACTAAGCTACAAATAGATGAAAAACATCCATTGGCATGGCCATTACATTACCTAAATCATCAAGCCTCACCCTAGGTGCCCTCCCATATTTAGTTGCATTAGGTTCCAACTTCCCATTCCCCATCCTTTTCCTTTCCTTACTCAGTGATTGGATCAAACCCCTTCAAGCCTTTTCCATGTCTTCGGTGAAATGTGATCCATCTTCTTAGTTTTAGGCTTATGGATTTGGCCACCTTCATAATTAGAAATCATTGGTAAACCTAAGATATTGCAAGGCTTAAGGTGGATCCAAAAGCATTTTCTACAAGTTCAAGGCTTGAGCAATAGCATAAGGGAGATGATGTGGAGATGATGTTGGGGTATAGAATGCACAACTTAAGGGTTGCATGACCTTAGGGTTTGTGCAACTAGCTTGAAGGGGGAGAGGGGCTAATGCGACCGGTGTAGAGGAGGAGGTGGATTGTGGCATCAAGGAAAGAGAAGAAAAAAGGAGGCCCCTGATAATATCAGAGAAACCCTAAGGAGAAAGCCTACCCTAACCCTAACTAAGAGGTAGATTTTTTAATTTCAACAAATTAAATTGAATGATTGAGATAACAAAATAATTTAATCACTTAAAATAATTTTCTCACTCCTCTCTCATCTTAAACTAAATAAGTTGTAAATACGTAGCAATTAAAATTATTTGTATTCAAATAATGTTAAGAAAAATTCAAACCTACATTTTTAAAGCTATTCAAAAGACTCCTAAACTACTAATCTCAAATTTAATATTGTTTCATACAAATCTCAAGATATTTTGTCCTAATATTAGTCAGATGAAATTTAAATTTTTAGATAATGGAATAAAAAATACCCTAGAAAAATTTGCACCTCATAATTTAAAATGAATTTATAAACTTCAGCTAATATATTATTTCCACTAGTTTTTTTATTTGTTCTTGTCTCTCAATTTTATGCAAATTAACTTAATAATTTTATATTATAAATAAATGATAATTAAAAAATGAGACACTAATTGGTACACATTTTAAGTTTACATACTGTATAATACATTTAATAAAAAATTATTATTTTTTAATCTAAAATTTAAAACAAACAAATTTAAAAATGCATCCATGCATACATGATGTAAATCTCCACTAAATTAGTTGTACTTATATTATAGTTTAGGTTAAATGCTAATTTTGGTCATTCAACTTTATAATGTTGCTAAATTTTCATCCATAAACTATTTTTTTATACTTTTTTATCCCTTAACACTAAAATTTGCACAATTTTGATCCCTCTATCAGTTAACTTTGACGTGGCCATGGAATAATTCCATAACAACATTTTCTTTTAATTCTTTTGATGACATGGCAATAACATATCTTGTAATTAGGTTACATGGACAAACAAAAATGCCACATCAAATGAACAGTTATATTTTTAATAAAAAGAAATAAAAAACAATAAAGTTATGTTATTAACCCATCTCCCTCTCAATCCATCTTCTTCCCCTCTTTGCTCTAGCTAAGGTTGAACCTAGGTACTAGGTTTGATCGAACCCAGTAGATCTAGGTCATCGAACCCAGTAGATCTAGGTCATCGAACCCAACTGCTAGGTTCAGTGGAACCTAGGTGTTGGGTCGTTGAACCCATTTGCGGGGTTCCATCAAACTAATAGATCTCATCAAACCAAATTAACCCCACAAAAAACAATGTCAATAAAACCCTAATCAAATTCCAACATAAATGCAATCAAATTCTAGTAAATCAACTCCCAAATTTTGAAAAAAACCTATCAAGAATAGATACAATAGGTAGATCAAGAACTGGG